AACAGCCCTCTCAGGTGCCCTCACCCCATGTTTGTTCCAAAATCCTATTGCATGGGGGTTGTCTATCCACCAAAATGCCATTTTTGCCCATCTTTTGCTCTGACACCCTGCACAGGTTCTGGCACTGCACACCAGGGCACTCCTTTGTGGGGATGCCCTCCCCTGCTTGCTGGACTCCAGCACCTAATTCTGGGCCCCCATGTCTCACCACCCTGCAAGACTCCTACTTTATTTGGTTCCACCTAATGGCTTTAAGGGCTTTCCTAAAGCCCCTAAAGTGGTAAAAAAAAAAAAAAAAAATCTGCCTGCCAATGCAGGAGACATAGGAGACACAGGATCAATCCCTGGGTTGGGAAGATCCCCTGGAGGAGGAAATGGCAACCCCCTCCAGTATTCTTGCCTGGACAATCCCATGGACAGAGGAGCCTGGTGGGCTACAGACCATGGGGTCACAAAGAGCTGGATGTGACTGGGCAACTGGGCATGCACACAATGGCTTTAGGGCTGAATTATTCAGAAATGGAAGAGGAAAAACCATACACTTGTTTTTATATGAACTCACTGTCTTCTGTTATTAAGACATTATTTTTGACCCTATATTATTTTGATCATGACTTAGCTAAATCACTCATATAATTTTTCCTTTAAATCAGTATATTTCATAAAGTACTGAGTTTACTTAAGACAATGTTAATTTGTGCATAATTTATGATATCTCATATCAGTAGTTTATCTAGCTTCTCCAACATTTGTTTCAAATCACAACCTCAATTAAAAGTGTTTTTATCCAAAATCAGGGTAGAAGTCAAAATCCTCACTTAGGCCATTAGGCTTTACATGATGTTATCTCCTCTTCCTCCTCCCCAGCAGATTCCTCCACGCTGGCTCGGCCCTTTCCTGCCACTCTGATCTCTATGCAATCCTTCAAATAGAAAGGCCACTGCTGTCTTAGGGCATAGGGCCTCTACCCTACTTTGTTTCTCTTCCTGAAACGCTTTTTCCTCAGATGTCCCCATCGCTCATTCCAGTGACTCCTTCACATTTTTGTTCAGATGCCACCTTTTCAATGAAGTCCACTCTGACAAGCTTATTTAAAATTGCAACTGCTCTTCACCTCATTTTCCGTTTTCCATAGCATTCCCCCCTTTCTAATATACTATATTTCTTATATTGCATATTACGTTTATATTTCATTGTCCTTCTTCCTACCATCGCCACTAAACTGTAGCTCCACAAGGGCAGAGATTTTTAACATTTTGTTCATTACCTAGTATTTATTGAATGAAGACATCCATCTCCTGAGGCAGTTTAAAATCCCAAAACCAAATTTAGGGCACCATCTAGTGTTCTTGGAAGGATGTGCTGATTTACTGTGAGACTTAACTACATTGATCGTGGTTTAGTCGCTAAGTCAGGTCTGATTCTTGCGACCCCACGGACAGTAGCCTGCCAGGCTCTTCTGTCCATGGGATTCTCCAGGCAAGAGTACTGGAGTGGGTTGCCATTTCCTCCTCTAGGGGATCTTCCCAACTCAGGAATCGAACCCAGGTCTCCTGCGTTGCAGACAGTACCAACTGAGCTACGAACAGTACTGGTATACTCAATTCTCAGTAACTCTTTTTACTGCCCTCTATAGTACTATAAAAAGTTAAAAAACAAACAGTAAAATGATTTCAATACTTTACCAGTCATGGGAAATAGATGGGGAGACAGTGGAAACAGGGTCAGACTTCATTTTTTTGGGCTCCAAAATCACTGCAGATGGTGATTGCAGCCATGAAATTAAAAGAAGGAAAGTTATGACCAACCTAGATAGCATATTAAAAAGCAGAGACATTACTTTGCCAACAAAAGTCCGTCTGGTCAAGGCTATGGTTTTTCCAGTGGTCATGTATGGATGTGAGAGTTGGACTGTAAGAAAGCTGAGCGCTGAAGAATTGATGCTTTTGAACTGTGGTGTTGGAGAAGACTCTTGAGAGTCCCTTGGACTGCAAGGAGATCCAACCAGTCCATCCTGAAGGAGATCAGTCCTGGGTGTTCATTGGAAGGACTGATGCTGAAGCTGAAACTCGACTACTTTGGCCACCTGATGTGAAGAGTTGACTCACTGGAAAAGACCCTGATGCTGGGAGGGATTGGGGGCAGGAGGAGAAGGGGACGACAGAGGATGAGATGGCTGGATGGCATCACCGACTTGATGGGCATGAGTTTGAGTAAACTCCGGGAGCTGGTGATGGACAGGGAGGCCTGGCATGCTGCGATTCATGGGGTCGCAGAGTCGGACACGACTGAGCTACTGAACTGAACTGAACTGAACCAGTCATGGGACTTACTGGCTTCTCTAACAGCAGTCTCTTCTCCAATGACTTGCCTATTGATCCCGAGAACTTCTGGGGAGTAGTAATGTCATAAAGGCCTATGTCTTTTAACTTTTGGGAATCTCTCCTCTCCCCACTACCAAAAAACAGAGTAATAGCCTCTGCTGGTTTTGTACCTACACTATTTCTCCAGAATAATACAATATATAGATTGATTAATTTTTTTTTTTTTGGCTGCAAAAGTCTCTAAATCAAAGTGATAAAACACTAGAAAGGATAACGGTAATATTATTTAAAATACTATCCAGATTTTCTACAACAATGAGGAAAGTCTTCTGATTTAGAAAACAATGGTTTCTTTAGTTATGTTAAAGAGGGGGAAATGAAGAAAATGAATGCTGCTTTAAAAGCATTAAAACATTTAAAATTTAACAGTTAAATAATAAAAAGAATACTTAGCTTATTCTTACTGAAAACTTATTGTGCCCAGTACTATTCTGAAAGCTCATTAAACATCTTCTGGACTCTACCACGTAGGTTCTCTACATTAAGCCCCACTTTTTAGATGACAAAATGGAAACACAAAGAAATTACGTAACTTGCCTGAAGTCACAAAACTAGTAAAGACTGAAGCTAAGATTTCAAGTCAGCTAGGTTTGCTCCACAGTCCATGTCCATGAGCTCATGCTCATGTTTTTATTCACCTCCCCAAAGAAACAGGAATAATGCTTCTTGGGTTCAAGGTTCTCAGATTGGTGAAAAAAATTAGTTTACAATGTCCTCATCTTCCAAAAATGAATCAAGGCAACCATAAAAGAAACAGCCATATACAATTATCCTAGAAATAAAGTTTAATTCTTTTCAGAGTCAAGAAGTAGAAGCTATAGAACTTGCCTTTCTAAGGATTTATGCTTTAGTCATATATATATACAATCTAAGGCTGTGGCAAACAGCAAAAACAACAGTAGTATTAATATTAAGATCAAAGGCCAGAGGGTGGCTTGCACTGGCACAATGAAGAATCTGATAGTCCTGGTTGCCCACCCACCTCTTTTTGCAACACATTCCTCAGAACATTTTATTCTACTCCCAACTGCCCAAAGCTTTTCCCACCTCTATCACTGGTTCAAATGTTTTAGAGTAGATGGAAGTGACTCAGGATCCCCAGTTACCAATTAATATACTCTTGAATTTTTTTCAACTCAGTTGGATGTAAGAAAAAAAACCTGAATTATCTGTTAAAGTGAGTCTCATTAAGGAGTGATTTATTAGGTAACATCTAGAATTATTTGCAGTATACATTACGCTCTTAAAAGGAGTATGAATTACCCCAGAATTTGAAATTGATGGAGTCTTTCAGGGGATATTTTTAAGAAGTAGGATTCCCAAGCTCTCTAGATGATTCTGGAAATGGTGCCCCTCTCACCACCCTCAGCTAGAACTAAAGACTCTTTCCTAAATGTTTACTTGACTCTTTAATAGTCTAAAATACACAGTTATTTGGATAAGGAAAATGGTTATCTTCCATTCTGGAGAGAAATTTTCAACACATGGTTTGAGGATGAGCTGCTTTGGACTCACCTGCAAGATTCCCAGCCCTACCTCTGACCAAGGGCATCAGACTCTTCTGCTAGGCTGAAGATAGCATAATCTGTATTTCAACAACCTCCCCCAGATGACTTTTATGTGTGCATAAGTTTGGTAACCACTAACCTAGGGGGATCATTTTAAAAAATAAAACACCACTGTCATTTTGGTTATTGGATCTTTTCCTATTATATAATACCACAGGCCAGAACTCCAAGAAGTATCATGTAAAAACCTAATTATAAGAAGATCAAATATAATTTTAAGAGACTAATAATTAACAAGTCTACTTACCAAACTGTATATCTTTTTGTTGTAAATTATATGTGTGAAACGTCTCAGTGAATTCTTTGGCGGATGTCGTTTAATCCTGCCTCGCCTTCCATAAAATTAACTAGCTGGCCAAAGTTTTTTTTACTATGCTACCCACACCTGAGTCTCTAGGAACCCCTGAGGCATACTCTGAACAAGCCTCATTTCCTCTATAAAAGAAATTGAGTTTGATCAACTGCACAGAACTTAGGCTGATTAAACTTATACTAGCTATCAAAGGAAACTGCAATCTTGCAACTTTAGCCATGTTTTAAAATAGGAAATACAATTATTTTTCTGGATGAGCAGACTGAACAGTAGCCTAAAGCTACAGAATCCAAGTAGAAAGCCTTTTAAGAGTCTTTCTAGTTTTAGAATTTGACTGAACTGCCTCTCCACACAACTGAATAGTCAACTTGCTTTTGTTTGCTTTTTAATCAGTTGAACCCAGGAAGAATTCCTTGCCCCTCTCTGATAATATAATAGCCTCTTGAGAACCCTTTACAAAAATACAGTTTAGAAGCATGGAACATACAAAAAAGGAAACTATTTAACTTGATGATGATACCCCACCCAGGTAATTCAGACACCTAAGATAATTTTTCATTGGAATTATTTAGTTTGGCCAAGTTAACAGGTCAAACTTCAGTTACACCGTATAATTACTCTTCTTTCTTACACTTTGTTTTCATTTGTCACTTACTCCTGATTCTTATCAATTGTCACTAACTTTCTTTTCCTTCACTTACAATCTAATCACAGTTCAACCAAGAATTCACTTACTGTGAAAGTCTTCTTAATTCAGAGTCAGATTGCATCCCACTGTGCTGATAGAGTAGACAAGAAATGTCCAAGGCCAGAGTTGTGTTGCTGAGATCTGTACTATGCCGATGCCCGGTACATTCAAGCAGCTGGCAACCAGTAACACTGTAGGAACTGATTCCAAACCACCTTTCAGAAACTAAAGATCTCATATACAGGGTGATTCATTCATAAACAATTTAAGGGGAGAGCTCTTACTAAAAGTTATTAAAAGCTATGAATAATCCCGTGAAACTACACTGCAGTCTACTTGGGAAAAACTTTAAAAATTTGATCTTATTTTTCTTTTAAGAGATCCTGGGAAAATCTAGTATTTTAGTTTAAAGTAAGTAACTTCCATTCCAGTTACTGTATTTGGATTTGTTCCACCGTACCTGGATTCATTCCAATTTATCTGTGGAACTGGGCAACTAATAGTCTTTATTCAACATTTCTTATATTTCTTGAATGAAAATGGGATGGACTACTGGGATTAACAGCTGGTTCATAGTGTCGTAAAGAGTTGGGACACGACTGAGCGACTGAACTGAACTGATTTAGAAGACACTAGTAATTCTGCCATTTTCTCTGCATAAAGTTTCTTCCATGAAGAATCTGGACACAAAGATGGACAAAAGAGACAGCTCTAATCCAGATCAAGTTCTAGAAGTAGAGCTCACCTTATCTCTCTTATTAAAAAAAAAAAAGTTAGATGCTGAAGAAGCTAAATATTCTTCCAAAACTTTCACAGAAATGCTAATCAGTTACTAACATAATAAATCAGTGTACCTGACTTTAAAAATATATTTTCACTTACGATTAGTAAGAAATATGGAAGTCTGAATTGTGGCATATCAGTCTCTCAAGAACAGGTAAGAACTGATGAAGCGGCAGCAAAGTTGGATTTTTAAATGAATATATTGATACCCAAGTGCTCAGAAAAAATTCTTTTCGAGTCTACTATCCACGAATTTACCAGAAAGCCAAGTTAACAACACAAGTAATCTCGCAGACATCTGAGTTAGCCAGCACCATTTTGCTGGAGAGGGGAGACTGGACGCTGCGGGCAGTTGGGAAGGTTATAATCTGAGGAAACTAAAGGCGCCTGCAGAGAGGCCTCTTTAGTGGTCTCTGACGAAAAATGTTGAGGGAGAAGTAAAACCGCCCCAATTTCCCCAGAACGGTCCTCACTCGAAGCTCTGGTTCCAAGAGACGCACGCTTTGATGAGGTAAGACGGTCCCCTACGATTTATAGCCAATCGCTCTCAAAGGGTAGGTCTCTCGGTGCGCAAATAAAGCCGCCTCAGCCGCCTTCGCCTCCTCCAAGTCCCTATCTCAGCCGAGTGGGGAGCAGCGAAGGAACCTCCTGGCCAGCCCCGCTGCGCTGACGGGCGTCGTCGCGAGCCAATGAGCGCGCAGAGAGGCGGAGCCGGCAGGCCGGCGGGGCGGGATTTCCCGCGCAATCGCGCGGCCGCTCGGCGCCCGGCGAGGGCGGCGGAGCCAGCGAGAGAGGGCGGGTCGGGGTCAGCTGCTGCAGGCGGGCGGGTGTGGGGAGCTGTGGGCGGCCGCCTCGTCTCTTGCCACCGCCCTCCGTTTGCCACGATGCCGGGGATCGACAAGCTGCCCATCGAAGAGACTCTGGAGGACAGCCCACAGGTTAGGCGGCGGGAGGCGAGGGAAGGAGCGGGGCTGGCCGACTCCAGGCCTGGCGCAGCCGCGGCCGCAGGTGCCCACCCTGGCCCAGGTGGGCGCCGCCCCCCAGTATCCCTGCCAGTCGCGGGCGGAGCCCGGAGCTGCCGAGGCCGGGCCGCCCTCCCGAGGCCCGCGTGGGCCTGCGTCGCTGGGCCGAGAGCCGCGCTCGGGGTCTGGGAGTCGGCGGGCGGCGAGCGAACCGCCGCCGCCGTGGCTGGTGGGCCCGGCGGTCGCTACCCGCGCGGGGCTCCCTTGTATTTGACAAAAGGTGCTTTTTAATTGCTGTGATGTGAGGTGATAAATCCAGATCCTGGGATTTTCTTTTCGAAAACCTCTTTGGAGGAAATGCAGGAGGAGAAAAGACCCTGTAGACTCAATGATTTCTGATCAGGCTAGGAAAGGACATGGACAAGTTTGGGGGTGGGAAATACTGAAAGTCTGTTGATTAGCTCGTGCGGAAAGCCCTTGGCGAAGCCCGTCACAGATCCTAGAGCCTCCGGGCCGAGTGTCGTGACCCTGAGTGCAACCGCTGTCACTCGGGCCGTGCACGCCGAGAAGTGGACGGCGCCTTTGCTGCGCCCGGGTTGCAGACTTGGCTCTAGTAAACTCATCAAAATAAAAGCCCCGTGTTTTGTGCATTGGGGATGATGCTGGGGTGGTTGCTGTAGCTTAAGATAGTCTCTTCCTTAAGACAGGAAGACGTAACAGGGACTTATGTTTTCAGTACTGAAGAATGAAATCAGCTATGTTTAAAAAAAAAAAAAATGCTGGTGGGGGCTGGAACTTGGGCTGAGAAACTTCATTCCTAGGCCTGTCTTCTTACACAATAAGGGATTTGAGACAATGTTGCTGTTGGGCTACCACTTAGAATGAAGATAGTTTTCTGAAATGTTCATTTAGAACTACAGTTGCACATATTTCATGTGTCTTGATGGTTTAATATGACTCCAGAAGAACAGGAGGGAGAGGCTAGATCCCACTTTCCTGTATGTCTTGTTTGCCATGGATATGGTGCCAGTTTTGACTGCCAAGTTGGAGTTGGGCTCTGATTGTAGAATTGATTGTTTTTTTTTTTTTTCCACGCTGAAAGTTATCTTCACAGGCCTGATCCCTGCTGGTAATGTACTCTTATCAGCCTATACTGACACAAAGAGAGACCGACTTCTTGGCTTGTTTTGACTGCCAGAATAATAGCCAGTTCACATATTTAATGACTTCTGTAGTATAAAGTTATAAGCTACATTTGTTTCAGATGTTTAGCAAAAATTTTCTGGGATGTATTGGTCAGGTACACTTTGTCATTTTATTTTTTTATAAGACTCAACAGGCTGCCTTACCTTTCTTCTCTTACCTGGCCTGGCTTTTATAGCTGCTGATAAAGACTGCTCAGAATGGGTTACACAGTGCCCTTAGCCATGACTTACAAGGAGGGTATTAACTTATCTAATTTCTTGAGTTTTTCACACAGTAAGTTTACAACTTGAGCATTAGTTTTGTTTTGTTTTGTTTTTTTCTGTTTTTTTACAAGCATGTGCCATATTAGTATTCATTTTTAATGAAATAGCCACATTGATAGTCTTTCAATTTCTAGAAGTAATAAATCTGAACTAGTTAATATTTATGTGGGAAAGTTAATTGGGACAACTGGGATTTAGAAAGGGAAGACATTGGGAAGCGATTCTAGGGGAAAACTTGTGGCAAGAATGAAAGCCCTGGATTTGGGATTTAGGATATAAGGGTTTTAATCTTTACTGCCAGTTGGTACCTTCTACTTTATGGCAAGTCACTTAACTCTCTAAATTTCACCTGTTATAGACAGTGAAACTTTTAATCTTTGTACTTGATTATAAAAATAATAGTTGTTTGCTTCAGAAAAATTAAAGTTACGGAAAGCACAGAGTTACCTGTCTAGTATTTGGCAGCAAACTTGGTTAATAGTTCGCTTTCTTTTTTGTAGGTTTTTTCTTTCTCTTACACCTTTTAATGTGATTGAGATTATATTGTGCATAATGATTTATATTTGGCTTTAACTACACATCATAACTTAAGTATCTTCACACATTATTACATACATACATACACACATTATTACGTACATACATAATAAACAACTCAAAGGTTGCGTGTTTCCTTGACTGACTTAATATGGTTGTCCTGTTGTTGGACTTTTGTAGTTTTATATAGAGAGCTGAGATTAATGCTTTGGGACGTAAATTTTTGTTCTTATCTGGACTGTTTATCTAACATCAGTTCAGTTCAGTCCCTCAGTCATGTCCAACTCTTTGCAATCCCAGGGACTACAGCATACCAGGCCTCCCTGCCCATCGCCAACTCCTGGAGTTTACTCAAACTCATGTCTGTTGAGTCAGTGATGCCATCCAACCATCTCATCTTCTGACGTCCCCTTCTCCTCCCGCCTTCAATCTTTCTTAGCATCAGGGTCTTTTCAAGTGAGTCAGCTCGTCGCATCAGGTGGCCAAAATATTGGAGTTTCCAGCTTCAACATCAGTTCTTCCAGTGAACACCCAGGACTGATCTCCTTTAGGATGGACTGGCTGGATCTCCTTGAAGTCCAAGGGACTCTCAAGAGTCTTCTCCAACACCACAGTTCAAAAGCATCAATTCTTCGGTGCTCAGCTTTCTTTATAGTTCAACTCTCACATCCATACATGACCACTGGAAAAACCATAGCCTTGACTAGACAAACCTTTGTTGGCAAAGTAATGTCTCTGCTTTTTAATATACTGTCTAGGTTGGTCATAACTTTCCTTCCAAGGAGTAAGCGTCTTTTACTTTCATGGCAGCAGTCACCATCTGCAGTGATTTTGGAGCCCCAAAAAAGAAAGTTTTCCACTGTTTCCCCATCTCTTTGCCATGAAATGATGGGACCGGATGCCATGATCTTAGTTTTCTGAATGTTGAGCTGTAAGCCAACCTTTTCACTCTCTTCTTTCACTTTCATCAAGAGGCTCTTTAGTTCTTCACTTTCTGCCATAAGGGTGGTGTCATCTGCATATCTGAGGTTATGGATATTTCTCCCAGCAATCTTGATTCCAGCTTGTGCTTAATCTAGCCCAGTGTTTCTCATGATATACTCTGCATATAAGTTAAATAAGTAGGGTGACAATATACAGCCTTGATGTACTCCTTTCCCAGTTTGGAACCAGTGTTGTTCCATGTCCAGTTCTAAGTTGCTTCCTGACCTATATACAGGTTTCTCAAGAGGCAGGTCAAGTGTTCTGGTATTCCCATCTCTTAAAGAACTTTCCACAGTTTATTGTGATCCACACAGTCAGAGGCTTTGGCATAGTCAATAAAGCAGAAATAGATGTTTTTCTGGAACTCTCTTGCTTTTTTGATGATCCAGCAGATGTTGGCAATTTGATCTCTAGTTCCTCTGCCTTTTCTAAAACCAGCTTGAACATCTGGAAGTTCACGGTTCACATACTGTTGAAGCCTGGCTTGGAGAATTTTGAGCATTACTTTTCGTAGCGTGTGAGATGAGTGCAATTGTGCAGTAGTTTGAGCATTCTTTGGCATTGCCTTTCTTTGGTACTGGAATGAAAACTGACCTTTTCCAGTCCTGTGGCCACTGCTGAGTTTTCCAAATTTGCTGGCATAAAGAGTGCAGCACTTTAGCAGCAGCATCTTTTAGGATTTGAAATAGCTCAGCTGGAATTCCATGATCTCCGTTCATAATGATGCTACCTAAGGCCCACTTGACTTCACATTCCAGGATGTCTGGCTCTAGGTAAGTGATCAAACCATCAAGATTATCTGGGATGTGAAGATCTTTTTTGTACAGTTCTGTGTATTCTTGCTACCACTTTTTAATATCTTCTGCTTCTGTTAGGTCCATCGCATTTCTGTCCTTTATTGAGCCCATCTTTGCATGAAATGTTCTCTTGGTATCTCTAATTTTCTTGAAGAATACTTTAGTCTTTCCCATTCTGTTGTTTTCCTCTAATTCTTTGCATTGGTCACTGAGGAAGGCCTTCTTATCTCTCCTTGCTATTCTTTGGAACTCTGCATTCACATAGGTGTATCTTTCCTTTTCTCCCTTGCTTTTCACTTCTCTTCTTTTCACAGCTATTTGTAAGGCCTCCTCAGACAGCCATTTTGCTTTTTTGCATTTCTTTTTCTTGGGGGTGGTGTTGATCCCTGTCTCCTGTACAATGTCATTGTACAGGATTTATCTAGCATATAGTCTGAGAAGTTGATAACAGAAAGGAGGAAAACTTTTAAAGCTCTTGATATAGATGTATTTATTAGATTACTTAATCCTAATCAAACGTGGCCTGCCAACTGCTATATAAAATAGAACTTGGAAGTTGTGAAAGACTACCCTGAATTACAGTTATTTTTAGTTTTGTTGTGTGCACCAAGTTGGTTTAGTCATCTCCAACTCTTTGCGACCCTGTGAACTGTAGCCTGCCAGGCTTCTCTGTGCTTGGATTCTCCAGGCAAGAATTCTAGAGTGGGCTACCACCTT